TCTTTAACTTGGCATGTTTGGGCAACCGATACTGAATGCCGGAAAAATAATACAGAGCCAAACACCAGGCATGAGAAACTAGTTTTGAGGCAAGTGCTTGGGGTTTCATTCGTTTCCTTCAAGTTCCATGCTACTGAGGTTGTTCTCATTCCTATTTTTTAGCTTTTTTTTTTCTTCTTCCTTTTTTTTTTTTTTTTAACTATTATTTTCTTCCTTTGCAAGTCCGACCCAACTCCCGTCGTGGTTCCGTGTCACCGGGCAGGGCTGCGTGTGGGGAAGCTCTCGCCGTCCGTGCGAACAAGGGGCGTCTGTCTGTCCGTCCTTCCCTCCCTCCCAGCTTCGGGCAAACCAAGAGTTCACTCAGTGGAGTTGTCTAGCAGCGGATGCTCATCTCTATTGCACTGTCACAGCCATTCCCACCCGTCCGTCCGTCTGTCTGTCCGTCCCACCGCGCCGGGGTTATGGCTGTGGTCCGTAGGGCCAGCCGCGCCTCACGGGGGGGTGAGGCCAACTGGTCTGTGCTACCAGGCTCCTGGGATACATAAAACCAAAAACAAACAAAAAAAAAAGGACCCTCCCCACATGACTCCCTCCCTCCCCAAAAGTTCAAACGAAGGGGTGAGGGGGGGAAACAAAAGAAAAAACAAATCCCGACCCAGAGGGGCGTGGGTGCGTGGGAGGAGTCGCCGGCTGGACGTTGAACTGCTTCGTGGAAAACAAGCCCCTCTCCACCCTCGCGGTCTTGCCGGAGAAGGGGTGTGAGAGATTAAGGTGCAAGAGTTAAAAATTAAAGTAAAAATAAAAAAAAAGAATTTAAAAAAAAAAAAAATAAAGTAAAACGCAAAAAGCTTGAGAGCGACGGACCCGACTCCTCTGCCTCCTGCCCCGTCCAAGCCCAGCTGGTGCAACGGGGGCCGGCTGGGATGGATCTGGGATGGATCCGGGACGGACGAGGCGCTGCGGGAGCGACTTGTCTGAGCTCTTAGTACTCTAATGAAAACCAGACATGGAGACACACTGGGGCTGAGTAAGGGTGTAGACAAAAGGGCTCAGAGGCCTTGTAGGACTCCTGGGAACTGCCCGGGCCTTGGAGAGGGGAGGGAGCAGCAGGGATCTGGTTCTCCAAAGTGCTGTGTGCATGGTCACATCTCGACGTCTCCAAGTGGCTCTCGGAGGGGATGGGGCATGGCTGGGATCAGTCACTGGGCTCTCCGCTGGGCTTCCACCCTCAGTGAAGTGCTCTCGTCTCACAGAGATGTCCAAGGGGGGCAGGTCCTCACTGGGAGAGGATGAACTGGGGCAGGAACAGGGAAAGCCACCTCCAGGTGAGTGGTACAAGGGAGCAGATGTTGGCGTGGGTGTTTACTTGTGGGGGAGAAGTCTATCAGCCAGGCAGACCATCCAAGCCCTCAGGGCAGAGTGCTCCCATCCTATCTCGAGGCTGAGCATGAAGGAAAAGAGGCACAGGGAAGCCTAAGGGGGATCTGGGAGGCAGTAGAGGAGGAGACAGCATGGACCACTCCAACACCTGCACAAGTATCACTGAATGCTTCTCTAAAACAATCATCTCCCAGACTGGATAGTGGTCCCTTCAGAAAGCCAATGGCCCCAAGAGCTAAGTGCCCCCATCCCTCATGGGTCTGTGTTTGGGAAGGCTTTGCACCATTCCAAGGAGCCCCAGAGTTATGGAGGACAGCAGCGAAGCCTCTGGAACCCACTGAGAAGGTCGATATGGAGAAGCAGCTCTGCCATAGCAACCTCCTTTTGCTCGAAGCAGATGGAGATGGGGGTGAGCTCACTGGTACTGAGTGAGGTGCTGGGGGATCCACGGGATCCCAGCCAACATGGGGATCAAAAGCAATCTGTTGTTCCAAAATGCCAACATCCACAAGAGCAGCCAGCTTCCCCGAGATGCCAGGCATGGTGGGCACCACTCAGCACGAGGGCACAGCACTCGGCTGACCCATCACCTCAAAGAGCACTCAGCACAACAGCAGAAGCTCCCCTGTCCTGTCCCTGCCAGGCTCCTGCATGTCCCTGGTCAGCAGAGCCCCTGAGCAGGGAGCTGACTCCTCCCATCCCTGCAGGGGCAGCCTCAATGCTGCCCAAGTGCTTTGCTGATTTGGTCCAGGAGGTGAAGCACCAAGACCTTTCACATAGCCTGGTGTGGCTCGTTATCCCCAGTGCTCTGCTGTCACCCAGAGCAAGGTGCAAATCAGAGCTCCTGCAACCCACTCAGGGACCTCTCTTCCTTCTTGCTTACCAAGAGCTCTGCTCACCACCTCCTCCATGACCTGATCTGTGTCCGTATTTGACCCCAATTCTGGCCTTGGGAGCAAGGAGTCAGCTGCAACACACCCCACCTCTCTACCTGTGCTGGGTGCTCTCTGGCCCCAAAGGGGGCACTTCCCCAGGCAAGGAGACCATACAACTGTGGCCAGGCTGATATGTGACACTCTGGAGCAGAGCAAAGCAGTGAGAAACCCAGCTGGGACCCCAGTGTCCAACAAAAAGGTGACAGCAAAGCCTTCCTCTTCTCTGCCATGAAGCCAGGCATATTATTCCTAAGTGAAACCAAAGACCAGCTCAACTTCAGCAACTTCAACTAACCAACACTTCAGGGCATCACCAAAACAACCACAGCCCTCACTGGTCCCCTCTGGTCCCCCCAAACCAGGGCAGGGCAACAGATACCAAACCCACAAGGAGAGGCCAATCTTAGGAGAACAATGTAGGCAACAAGCTGGAGGATGGGACATTGTCACCCGGCTGAAGGAGGTCTTGCTTTAGCTCCAGACCTTGCAACGGGACCCAACCTGGAGCTCACCCACCACTCAGGGGTTATTCGAATTTTTAAGGCACTATTCTGGGCCGATTCTGCCGAGGAATGGCAGCGTCCTGCTCCTCTGTCCCAGGCCACCCTCCCGCTGGTCCCGAAGCCATCTGAGCTCTCCCAGGGACAGCTCGCCAACTCCAGAGCATCCCCAGGAGCCCAGCTCCCTCTGGGATTAGCAGAAAGGGCACACTGGAGCCCAACACACTTAGGGCACCCCAAAACTGAACTGGCAGCGAGCTGCAGATGCCCCGAGATGCAACGTGGGTGTTTGTGCTTTTGCCTACGGAGGAGGAAAACCTGGCACAGGGAAGGAAGATGTGGTGAGGGCTGCTAAGGAGAGCATGCTGATGGTTTTCCAATGGGGACATCCGGGCTCCTCCATGGTGCCCACCTCTCAGCCTGGTGGGAGAAGAGCCTGATTTGAAAGACCAGCTTTACAGTACAGGGATTCAAGCACCACTAACTGGATTTCAGCTTAGAAATATCGATGCACCGGCAGGAATTCTTTCTCTCAACGCCAGATATAAGGGCATCCTGCTCCTCCCAGCCCCGCCAGCATCCCAGGACAAAGATGGAGCTGGAGATGAAGCAGAGAGTGACAGCTTTTACCTACACCCTTACGGACGGACAGTGGTTCCCCCCCAACACCCACGCTTCTCTGGAGGGGCCTCTTCCTGCTCCCCCTTTCTGCGGAGGATGACGGGTGAGAAAAAGGAATAAAAACCCAAAACAACCCCAAAACGAGGAGGAAGGGGGTGGGTAGAGAGCAAGCAAAGCCTCGTCTCCCCGGGGGGGAGGCGTTCCCGAAGGGCAGAGCAGTCCGTGCAGGCGCATGGCCGGGGTGGGGGGCACCTAATTGTTGTTGGAATTTATCCTCCCCGCGGG